CTCGGGTGATGGCGTGAGTAGCAACAAAGGAGGGGCTAACAGACGCCACAGTTTACTTTTTACCAGGGTCATCCCTCAAGCGTGCAGCCTTCCCAAGCAACCCAGTCACCCTTGGCTAACTACAGGAGCGGCTGGGTGGTGTCCTCCAGTACCTCCCTCCAGTACCTCGTCCTCCAGTACCTCTGAGTGGTCCTCCAGTACCTCGTCCTCCAGTACCTCTGGGTGGTCCTCCAGTACCTCGTCCTCCAGTACCTCTGAGTGGTCCTCCAGTACCTCGTCCTCCAGTACCTCTGGGTGGTCCTCCAGTACCTCGTCCTCCAGTACCTCTGGGTGGTCCTCCAGTACCTCGTCCTCCAGTACCTCTGGGTGGTCCTCCAGTACCTCGTCCTCCAGTACCTCTGGGTGGTCCTCCAGTACCTCTGGGTGGTCCTCCAGTACCTCTGGGTGGTCCTCCAGTACCTCTGGGTGGTCCTCCAGTACCTCGTCCTCCAGTACCTCTGGGTGGTCCTCCAGTACCTCGTCCTCCAGTACCTCTGGGTGGTCCTCCAGTACCTCGTCCTCCAGTACCTCTGGGTGGTCCTCCAGTACCTCTGGGTGGTCCTCCAGTACCTCTGGGTGGTCCTCCAGTACCTCTGGGTGGTCCTCCAGTACCTCGTCCTCCAGTACCTCTGAGTGGTCCTCCAGTACCTCGTCCTCCAGTACCTCTGGGTGGTCCTCCAGTACCTCGTCCTCCAGTACCTCTGAGTGGTCCTCCAGTACCTCGTCCTCCAGTACCTCTGGGTGGTCCTCCAGTACCTCGTCCTCCAGTACCTCTGGGTGGTCCTCCAGTACCTCGTCCTCCAGTACCTCTGGGTGGTCCTCCAGTACCTCGTCCTCCAGTACCTCTGGGTGGTCCTCCAGTACCTCGTCCTCCAGTACCTCTGGGTGGTCCTCCAGTACCTCTGGGTGGTCCTCCAGTACCTCGTCCTCCAGTACCTCTGACACAACGTCGGTTATCACTACATTACCGTGAATACTGATGGCCACCATCACACTACGCATGCAGCCTCCGCGTGTGATATAACATGGTCGAGAGCTGCCGCGCGGCCTTTCTTCAGAGACAAAGATTGCCTTTGAAGGTAGTGTTGTTCACACAATGACACTGAACATTGGGGTCAAGACTCTGTAATCTTGCTGCTCTGTGATTGAGGTGACGCAGCTACACCGTGACGCAAGACTCGTGTTATCACAGACACGCTGGCCAAGGTAATGTGGGTAAGAGTCAGCTGGAGCAACAGAATGTATAACTAGGAAGGGTGATTGTAAGTGCTACCCAGTGGATGATAGCTGGGCATTCTGCCTTTCACTCACGCTGTGGGTGCAGGCGAGGAGTCACAATAACGTGGCTAAAGTA